TAGCCTGCTGAGCGTGCTGGCTGGGAATTATGCAAGTTATAGTCCAACACGCAACATTATACTTGGATAGGGAAGTATCTAAGTTCTCAACTCTAACAGTAAGGCCCAATGACATTACATCTGGAGTTCCTATAAAGAGCAGTCTAATCACAGGAAACTCCTGCTTGGAGAAAATGCTACAGTCTTCTGAGATGTGCACTGAGCTATGCTTTCCGGAATAGTATGCAAGAAGTTGCCAAGAAATATTGCAAACTATGCAAGAATGTTCTCATCTCTTACATGAAATAAAGGATTCCATTGACGTGTGGGTAAAAATCCAATACACCAGCTTTTATTTAAACACATGCAATTCATTGCGGCATACCAAGAACTGTTGCTGGCAGTGGTGCCCTACTGAATATGCAGGATGAGAAGCAAATTATTTTCTTCACTGCAATCTTTCTTCTCTCTGGACAAACTTAATAATGGTCCTAGAAATCACATGCTTGGTTTCAAACTTTTCCAGCTTTAAATTCCCTGCTAAATTTAAGTTTCAACATTTGAGCTACCTCTTTTGCACAAACAACCGCTACTGACGAAACCCACAATGAAACAACAACAAAAAACTTACTGTAGCATTTCCAGTTGCCAGTGGAGCTATTGATCCTGTATCAGAACAAAAAACAAAAACCAGAAACCAGGCAAATTTATCTTTACTGAGGGTTTTCAGTCTCTGGTAATCTATGTAAAAAAAAAAAAGAGCAAGGGAGATGGAAGGGAAATCTAACACTGATAAATTCCAGAGCTGTATTATAATAAATACCAATAAAGGATAATATTTATAGCTCATGGTTTGAAATGAGGGTCCTTGGAGCTCTCTGAGCTTGCTTGTTTTCTTGCAAACATTTCATTACCCTAACTAGATAACATCATCAGTGCTAATAAAGAGTGCTGTTTGCTGTCAATTTATAGACATAGGAATATAAATTGACAGCAAACACCACTCCTTACTAGCACTGATGATGTTACCTAGTTAGGGTAATGAAACATTTGCAAGAAAACAAGCAAACTCAGAGACTACCAAGGACACCTCAATAGAGGAGTTCTATCAGATTTATAATAGAATATGTATAATTTCACATTAACTTAAATATAAGAAATACAAATTGCCCCCCCCCCCGGTAATTTTCCTCAACAAAAAAGACAACTGTGTGGGGACGGGGGATGGGAAGTAACATTCCCTAGCCAGGCAGAGAACAGAGCTGGCATGCCTAGATATCCAGTCACTTAAGCTCCACCAAGATCAGAGTTGCATCATTAATGTGAGTCACAGCTGAATGACTAGACAGTTACCAAAACAATACTTTACTTGGTGGGAGTATTGGAGAAGCAATTATTAATTAACTATGGATCTTATACTCACTCACAGAATTGCTATGTTGTGTGGCCCAGACACTCCAACATGGCAACCGCTGGATATACTATCACTACAATTTCCACCTTATAAAGTAGTTTGACCCAATATCATCTAAAGTTATGTGGCATAAAGAGAACCGTCTCAGCTGTATCCCAGATACTCTTAAACATGGTTGAACATTTCCAGAAGAAATACACATACAGTACATGCATAGATAAATGGTTGTCTTGAAGCACATTTCACACTGATTAATCAAAGTTTTTGAAGTCTCACAAGGTTCAAATATAAATGGCTAGATGATGCAAGAATTAACACTAATGAAAGGAACGGACCCAATAAACTTATGCAATGCAAAGTAAGCGTTTACTTCGGAGCATTCAAGCACTGCACTTTTTTTTTTCATTCCAGTGAAGTACTTTGCATGCAAACATGGCCTCATGAAAAATAATGTCTTGCTCATAATTTATCCTTTATTGCTTCTTCTTTGTACCAGATAGAAGCCCAATTTGTTTAAGGCAAGTGATATAGTGGTTCAGTCTAACCAGATGAGGTAAGAATTGGATAAAGGGCTCAGATCCATCAGAGTTTCTGCCTAAGAAAAGCTAAGAACAACACTGAAGCAACACTGAAGGAAAGCACTAAGATAGAGAACCTAAGACAGATAAAAGTCTTAAAGTTTAAAAGTTTTAAAACTGTTTCTCACAGTATTTTATAAGAGGCATATTCCTAACCTGAAGTCATCAGAAAATAAAGATATTACATTTTGTGAATAGTATGTCTGGTCCTCTGAAGAGGAACTACCTCCGCATTTCTCTAGTGTTGAAAACCAAAATGCAAACAAACTAGAGGAAGTATTGTCACAGACATTGACGTCTTAACAAAAATGTTTTATGATGTTTATATATTTGAAAAAAAGGTGTGTTAGCTTTTGGAAGCCACAACTTTTTCCTTATTCTTATGACAGTGCACCAAATGTTTTAATACGATGTTGGGAAAAATGCTCTGAAAGAACATTTGATGCTACTTAGCAGAATGAAATCAATGCCATATACAGGAGAACCTCTGGTCACGAATGCTTCTGACCACGACCAAATCAGGTGACGACCAAAAATTGGGCAAAATTTTTGCATCTGGTCGCAAACAAATACTCGGGTGGCGATCAAACACAGCCACGGTGATTTTCCCTTCCGTGTCAATTTCCCCTTCCACGCCATTTTTCTTTGTATGTGCATGTGCAGTCAGTCTCGTTTCTGGTCACGACCAAATCAGGTTGTGACCAAAGTCATGGAATGGATTACGGTCGTGACTGAAGGTTCTACTGTAAATCTAAAGCTACTTTTATTGGGACGGTAATAGTAGCAGAATATTGAATGTGCTTTCTGCTTCCCTCACTTTATCTTCACATGAATTAAGAAAGGGCCTGACTGATATATTTTCTCAAATTAATTAGTTAGAATGGACTTAAGCCACTCTTGTCAGTTTGTTGTCTGGGTGGCTGCTCTTTGGTTCTCCAAGACCATTCCTTATATCCTCTACAAATTGCAACAAGCAGCTCCTCTAGCTATGTTTTGTCATACTTTATCATGGAGTACCTTAATTTTTCTATCAGCATTTACTCCCTCTGGCCAATGATAGAACACAATCCACCATAGTTTTCTCCTAAATTGCAAATTTTATATACAAAAAATGAAAGAAAATATTGTATTTTGCAAAACTGTTGTAAACTGAATTTTTCTTCACTGTTGGATTGAACTGTAAATTATGCAACAAAAATATACATCTTTCAACATTTTCTCCCTGCTCCCCTAATGTTTAAAACCACTTTAAATAATCCGATAAAGGGTCATTTTCTTAGCACTGATTTGCAGCAAGTATTCTCAAGTATCTTAATACAAAAATAAACTGGCTTCTGAAAAACAGGCCTCATAGTTACAAACACCAGATGTGTGTGGGAGGAGAGAAACTGTTTTGAATGGAAGTACAGAGAAAAACCAAATTTCTCTAGGATAATAATATTAACAATGAAAAGCCTGCTGTTAGTCACACTATCACTGTACTCTCTTTATTTCTGATTCTGTTCCATGGAGAAAATTACCACATGAAATGGTACAGTTTAACCCTGTAACCGTATGAGTTAGGCATAACGGAGTTCTTCATGCAAGGAAGGCTTGTTGGCTTTTCAACTAGCTTTCAAATACTCACCATTAAACTACTATAATAGAGCTAGAAAGGAGCCCACAGGTAATCCTCAACTTACAGCTCATAGTTCTAAGGGCACTGAAAAAAGTTTTTCATACTTAGAACAGTTGCAGCATCCCCATGATTAAATGATCAAAATTTGGACACTTGGCAACTGGCATGTATCTATGACAGTTGCACTGTCCCAGGGTCATGTGATCAATCCTTGCAACTTTTACAGCTAGCTTCTGACCAGCAAAGTTAATGGGGGAAGCCAGATTTCTTTAACAACTGCACAGTTTCCTTAACAACTGCAGAGTTTCCCTTAATAACTGTAGTGATCTCCTTAACAACTGCCAAAAATGGTCATATATGAGATGAAACTCAATCAACAACTGCCTTGCTTAGCAATGGAAATTTTGGGCTCAACTGTGGCCATACATTGAGGACTACCTATATATTAAAAGGGTTTTATTTATTCTCAGAAAACTCCCAGAGAATCCCTGGAATATCTTAAATAGTGCATAAAAAGAAGAATTACACACACAACCAGCTTGTCCTTAGAATAGTTTGAATAGCCTTTACCCTGACCTTATTTTAAGTTAGCCTTGAAGACCAAGCACATCCCCCAAGCCCTGGGTTAGGGAACATGACTGGTCTTTTGGGGGAACATGGAAGTCGAGAATTGTGTTTTTAATTGCTTTTTCAAGATAACTTGGTTTTTATTGGTTATAGTATCATTTTTAACATTACATGTTGCCTGGAGTAGGTACAGATTTAACAGTTTTGGAAATCTGACTGATGTATACATAAACAATAAGAGACATGCATTTATTATTATTTTCAAGAAGCAACTATGACATGCATTTATTAATCACCAGGAACAACTATTATAGAGGTGACCAAAAACAAGAGAGATGGTTGTTTAATAATTGTGATTATTAAGCTAATATTGATGTGGATGCCAACAGAACAGTAGCCAATATAGGACCATTAAGGGAAATAATATCAACACATTCAGAACATTCTCGAGTTTGCAATAATTCAAGACATCCCCTTAGAAGTGGAATTTCATTTTGAGAAATGGGAGAGACAGATGTAATGTTGACTCATTACAAGGCTTGTCATTTGGAGTTTTAACTTCAGTCATGTTTTAGAAATTTCAGAAGATTCTTAACAATTTGGATGCATATCTCTGTGTAAAAGATTTCCATTTAAGGAGAAAAAAAAGAATCCTTTTTACTAAATACTATAGTTCCATAGTCACATTCAGTGAAATGTCACGGCCATTATTCAACATTTATAGAAGTTCCATCTGCAGATTATTATTGCATTTGTTCTGGGCTTCACAGATGGGTTGAAATTTAAATATTTTAAATAGTTAAATATTTGAATGTGAAAGGGGAAGCTCTCCCTTCTTCCTTACCTTGTAACACATACTCTCAGCAAAGAGAAGGTAATGGGGACAGCATGTCTTCGAAAGTTATACAATCAGCTGCTCAGTTCTTGTGAGATCAAGACTGGATAAAAAGAAGCAAAAAGTAAAGAATTAATCACAAGCAACACCACAATGTTTTGGATGCCTGATAGAATTCCTGAATACTTTAAAAGTATGAAATAAAAAGTAGAAAGAAAACATTAAGACCATTTATCAGTTTTTAAGAAAAGGACTTTAACTATATTGCTATACAGAATGGTTATCTCCAAAAAATAGATTTTGTGCCTTTCAGATAGAACAAAAAAGAGCAGAAATCCCCAACTTTGCAAGGTGATGGGCACCTTTAGAATATTAAGAATCTACAGTAGATTCCTTTACAAAATGGCAGCTTAGAAATGCAGGATGACTTAACATATTAACATTGCATACTACTGATCCAACACATGGAATCTGGCCTCAAGCATGTCACAATCAAATAGTAAATACTATGTATACTTGGTTCCATGAAAAAATAATTCAGACAAACCCATGTATTCTTAAGAAAATCACAGCTGATCCAATACTCAGAAGAATGGAGGCAATCAACATGCCTTGTCCTTGGGTCATAAAACTGAAACAGCCAGGATTTAGTTAAGAACTGGTCCAAACTATAAAACAGGCAGATCATAACAGCCCGTCCTAAAGATACAATTGTATGCTCTTTGTGCTCAGATAACACAGGAACACTTGCTATGCTACATACAGATTTGCCATGAGCCCAAGGGTCATTCTCTATATAGATTCAATCTGTACTGCAATTTAGATAGCTGAATGGATAGCTTATGTCAGCAGTTACTAGCAGTTCAAACATTTTCTAAGTAGATAAGCAATCTGAGCTAGTCAAACAAATATAAATATCTTGCAGGAATTTCCAGTCCCAACAGCCTTTTCCAACTGCAACTATCAAAACAAGCATTGGGGAAGGGGTCTATTCAGATTATACTTCAGCATGTACAAAAATTAGAAGGTATTTTGTACTGTTATAAAAGATGACCAGGATAAGCATTCTGCCCCAGTGCAGAATTTAATGCTACATTTAGATGACCAATGCAGACAGAAAGTTGTTGATTAGATTTGTATCACACCTTTATTTTTCAGAACTTTAATATACATTGCAAAGAGGCTTTAGTGCAGCATCAGAAGGCTATAGAAACATCTTCAAAGCTCATGCTCTTGGTAGCAAAATAACCATCGGTACATGAAAAATAACTACATGGACCTTAGCTAAAAGTGCCACAGCTTCAAGGAAATGATGCAACAGACAAAGCATGGACAAAAAGTGGATGAATTTAATTCAAACAGACCAGAAGAGGATAAGCTTATGTTAATAAGCTCTGAACTAATATAGAAATTTTAAGTCTGTATGCCTATCTATACATTACTCATGGTTATATAAATGTCAATAAATTTCTGCATAGTTTGCTAGGTATAATTTTTTTTAAATATAACATTTAAAGCAAAATGCACCAGGAAAAGAAGCCAAAGCATCCAATATCAAATTATTAAACAGCATATTATAGCTCATTCATTTCTCAATGTCAGGATGTTTTCTCAATAGTATTTTGTGAATGATTTCTAGTGCATAATTATGACTGAAACAACTCCAGAATTGTAAGGGAAAAGGCTTCTGAATTGGGTAAGAGCACGGAGATTATCCAGGGATGCATTTTTTTTATGTCTGCCTCGCTCTGCTGTTTCATCCTGGATCACACTGGATGCAAGTCATTTTCTTTTTTTCAAATTTCTTTTTGCAAATTAATAACACTTCCCCCATGTACTATTATTGGCACTGTATATAATAGTATCAAAGCGGTTTTGATAAAACAGCATCCCCCTCAGGAACAGGCAGAGCCGCGATTGAAAACGCTACTTTTAGAATTGCAATGACAACACTTGAGGCAGAATGTGAGAACTGCTAAGCAGCTCCAGGCAAATCACGCCAATCCTTAGGATCGTGTCTTCCCAGGCTCGCAGTCCTGCCTTCAGAGCCGGGTGCCCTGGAGAACATGGGAGATGTAGTCCAATTCAGCTGGGGCACATCAGGCTGGGAAAAGACGCCTTAAGATTTACTTTTGTCTCTCGATATTTTAAGAGGGAGGATGGGAGAGGGAAAAAGTAGAAACGGCCGGTCTATCTGCTAGGGCTAGAGAACGCGAAACAGCGGCGAAGCCCCTTGCCAAAACCAAACTTAGATCCCGCCCTTTGCCAGCGCTGGCACGACGAAACTGTGCAAACTCCAGGCACAACTCATCCCTCGCCGACGGGGAGTGGTAAGAATTGGCCAGCGCGGCGCCTGCGGTATTTCGCCAGCGGAGAAGGCATTCTCATTCAAGAGTCAGGCAAGGCTCCCGGCAAAATGGTTAGAAACCTCGGGCATTGCCTTTTCCCTTAAGGAAACCCCAAACGGACTCCAGGTTAGAGAAGCTGCAAGAACCCCTCTCCCGCCCGCTTCCTGCACCTCCGCTCCTCCAGAGCAGTCCCAACAGGTGGCAAGGCCAGGGACTCCCACCGCGTCCCCCGAAGGGAAGCCTGAGAAAGTACCGAGCACATTAGTCCGCCCTCCCCAGATTAGTTTGCCGCATCCCACCTCCGTCCGACGGGCCCGCTGGGAAGGAACGCGCGTTATGAAAGCAAATAGCAAGAAAGACAGCCCCCCTCCCCCCCCGCCACCACAGCACATGCCTTCACAAAGCCCCGCCCCTCCACTCCTTAAGCTCCGCCCAGAATTCCATTCAGCATCGGCCCCATCTGGCAAAAAGACCCGCCTTTCCTCCGCAGCCTCTCCCTCTGACTTCCCGCCCCTCGTTCCACGCTTCTCAAACAAAACGTCATCGATGGGTACCCGGAAGTTATGGCTTTTTCTTGGCTTTCCCCGATGGGGGAAAAGGAAGAACCTCGCCTCAGCGGTCGCAGTGTGTGACGTAAACACACATGCAGATACACATATACACATCTCTATCTATCTATCTATCTATCTATCTATCTATCTATCTAAACATGAGAGAGAGAGAGAGAGAGAGAGAGAGAGATGTAATATACAACTGACTAGAAGAGCGAATGGTTCAAAACAAGGCTAAAACTAAAACAAAACTAGTAAGGCAAAAGAACAAAAGGAGGCTGCTCCCCAAGACCCGGGAGAACAACCAGGTCTTCAAATGTTTTAGTCTTACATAAAGGTGGAGCCATAAAAACCTCTTGGGAGGAGATTATCCCAGAGGGCAGGAATTGCAACAGAGTAAGTATGCTTCGTGGATCTCACGTGATAACATTTTGTAATTGATGGGACCTGGCACACCAGATGAGCGGAAATAACAATAGCAGAGTTGGAAGAGACCATAGAATCCAACCTCTGCTCAAGCAGGATACCCTATACCATTTCAGACAAATGATTGTTCAGTCTCTTCTTAAAAACATCCAGTATTAGAGCACTGATAACTTTTGGAGGCAAGCCGTTCCACTGATTCATTGTACTGTAAGGAAATTTCTTCTTAGTTCTTGGTTGGATCTTTCCTTGATTAGTTTTCATCCATTGCTTCTTCTGCCTTCAGGTGCTTTGGAGAATAGGTTTACCCTTCTTTGTTACAGCCCCTGAGATATTGGAACACTGCTATCATGTCACCCCTATTTCTTGTTTTCATTAAACTAGACCTACCCAATCCCTGCAACTGTTCTTTATATATTTTAGCTTCCAGTCTCCTAATTATTTTTGTGGCTTTTCTTTGCACTCATTCTGGAGTCTCAACATCTCCAGTCCCTCAGATATTTAGGGTAAGTAATTTTTCAAATGTCAGGAAGAAAATAAGTAAAAGCAACCCTCCCTGAAGTTTTAATAAAGACCCCAATTCATTATTTTAGGATCAAATCATCCCATCTAATCTTAGAACACAACCCAGAAGTGTTCTAGCAGTCAGCATGGGTTTGTTAAAAACAGATCATGCCAAACCAATCTTATTTCATTCTTCAACACAGTGACTAAATTAGCAGATCAGCAAAATACTGTGGACATAATATACTTAGACTTCAGCAAGGTATTTGACAAAGTAGACCACAACTTACTTCTTGGTAAGCTAGAAAAATGTGGGATAGACACCATCACCTCTAGATGGATTTGTAACTGATTAACAAATTGCACTGAATGTATAGTTATTAATGGAACTACATCTACAGGGAGGGAAGTAAGCTGTTTTAGCCCCAGTATTCTTCAATATCTTCATAAACAATTTAGATGAGGGAATAGAAGAGGAACTCATCAAATTTGCAAATGACACCAAGCTGGCAGTTATCCAGAAGATAGACACAAGATGGATTTCGAGACTTGAACACTGGGCCCCATCTTACAAAATAAAATTCAGTGGAGAAAAAAGTAAGGTAAGAAAAGGCACTTAGGCAAGAAAAACCACATGTAGAGGTACAAATTAGGTGAAACTTGGCTCAAAAGCTGTAACTGCAAGAGGGATCTTGGAGTCCTAGTGGATGATCCAAATATGAGCCAGCAGCGTGCTGCAGCCACCAAAAAACCCAACACAATCCTAGTCTGCATTATTAGAGGGATATTATCAAGATCATGTGAAGTGTTAATACTGCTTTATAATGCCTTGGTAAGACAAACTTGGAATACGGCAAGAGAAGCAACCTAGAACTAAAGAGAAATTTCCTGACATGAGAACAATTAACCATTGAAACGGTTTCAGAAGTTGTGGGCACTCCAACACTGTAGGCTTTGAAGAGGAGATTGGACAACCATTTGTCTGAAATGGTTCAGGGTCTCTTGCTTGAGCAAAAGGTTGGACTAGAAGACCTCCTAGGTCCCCTGTTTGTTCTGTTTTGTTTGGTTCAGTTCATCATTTCCCTTTCAGAATCAGAACCAAATCCAGTGTCAGTTGAAACCTGGAAGCTGGAAGACAGTGATGCAAGTGTTCCTACGAAGGACAAAAACATCCACAACTTTTGCTAAACTACACCCAGAAAAATTGCTTTTTCCTTCAATTTTGCATTGTAGCTGAACCAAGAAATGAGCTCAGCTATTAAACAGATGATAGCAAGTGAATCCAGAGATGCAGTGCTAGTGCTGGAATGTTCCACGAGCTCCTGCTCAAGTGTTTTCAATTAAATCTTTACTATAGTAATGCTTCCAAGTATATCTTTTAAATTAATTTGTAACTTTTATATCCCATTCTTCCACCAGGGAACTGTACTGTATGTTGGATCATCTCATATTCTCCTCACAACTACCATATTTTTTGGAATATAAGACGCACTCCCCCCCAAAAAGGGTGGAAATGCCTGTGTGTCTTATACAGCTAATATTGCGGGGGGGGGGGGGAAGGGAGGTTGGTGCGGTGTTGATCAGCTGTTCTAGAACAAGCTGCAGTGGCAGCAAATGGGCCACAGTGAATGGGCCACAATGGCGGCAGTGAGGTGAACGGGCAGCAGCAAAAGGGCGGCAGCGCATGGACCAGATGAATACCAGATAAATGCTGGGAGGCAGAAGCAGATTTTTTTTTTTCTTTTCCTCCCCAAAAGCTAGGTGTGTCTTATAGTCTGGAGCATCTTATCTTCTGAAAAGTATGGTATATTGTATGGGAAACAAAACGAAGAGATCGAGTCTTGCTCAAGGCATTTCAGTGGATATCATATTTAACTTCCTAACTTAATTTCAGTTAAGAAGTTAATTTACTTAGCAACAAAATGCCACCAAGTTGATCCTTGTGTCAGCAGCAATAAAATAAGGCAAATGCTGCAAATCCTTGTAACTGGTATTATTTACAGCTAAGCTCTACATTGTACCAACTACAGTTTCAAGAAGGCAAGAACGTGACAGGTAGTTCTTAAGGTAGAGGCTGTTGTGATTTGATTTATGTTGCCTTATGAATATTCTAGTAGATTTGGTGTGTCACATGTTATTCAATTGGCATTCTCAGAATCTTTCCAGGCAAGTGGAGAAGCTATTACTACTTTCTGCAAACTCTTATGGAGAGACAAACTGTCTGAAGGAATTAGCATTATAGGGGGCTTCTGAATTCAAAAGAACAAGCACAGTGTGTGCTTGTTAACTTCACAATGGAGCATTTAGAATCTGTGGTTTGGATTTTCCAGATGAGAACAGCTCTGGTGGAGCCAATTTTATTCAGGTTTATTTTTCAGAATTATCTGCCTGGTAGTTGCAAAGTTAAGAAGAGCATATGCTGAAGTAGTTTTTCACTCCAAGATAGAGAGAAAAGCAGCAAGAAAGACAAGACAGTTACATGGAAGCACTCCCCCCCCTTCTTGCACATGCTGAGCCAGCAGTGGTTAATTAGTTAGTAATACCTCTTGTCTGTATATCTTTTACTTGAATTTCAAAAGTGTACCTCCACCTTCACTCCCCAAATAGGCTTAAATTGACCTCTACACTCTTGCATCCTTTCTCTATTGTTTTTAATTGCTTGCTCAGATTTCTTACCTAAAATGTGAAGCCTGTGTAGATTGTGATCTCCATTCAGCTTGGACAGTAATGTTATAGTTTTCCTGTCTTTTGAATAGTTGCTATGCTGCATTTCTGCCAATTTTTAAAGCTGCTCATTCTCTATATTTGGCATTAGAATGATGAAGAGACTGAGGTAAATTGCTATGTAAAAATACTTGACTGTGGATTTTTTTTCACAGAATAAGAAAAGTGGATTTTTTTTCACAGAATAAGAAAAATTGAATTTGTTGTTAGATTGATTTGGTGCCAATTCAAAAACAGTTCCAGTCCTCTGTGATTCCACAGTTCTGCTTGGGATCGAGAGCTGAGCTGATTTATTTCTGGATTAACTGCAGTGTATTTGAAACTGCAACAACATGAGCCCTTAAAAAAGACCAGGAGACTGTGGAGCTTGTAAATGGACTATTTCTTCATTTGCCGGAACTTTTTCCTCACAATCCTCACAGCTCCAGGGCTTCAGACCATTTTTATCCTTTTCATAGGAACTCCTGGGCTTTATTCTCTTCTTGTAAATGATGGAACAAACAAATGATATGATTCTTGAAGGAGGGCTAAAAGCAATTAATTTTATTTCTCTTTTAAGTAGATTAATTAGGCAATGATTCTTTGCTCCTTTCCCCAGAACATTATCTTCAGATTGCCTTTTGAAGGATTTGTGGATGAAAATAATGATAGTGTAGAAAACCTTAAATTTGCCAGCTATTAAGTTGGGATCTAAATACCTCTAGACATAGCAGATCAAAGGATTTTAGAGACAAGAGGATGTGTGCTATATATTAAATGCAATAATAATCCAAACTATTATAGGGTCGTTTGCCATTGTTGAATTGAAGTGTTTTCCACTCATCCTTGAGTCAGCAGAAACCTATACTAGCATGAAATTTGCTGTTTTCATTGATATTCTTTTTTCACCTCTCTTGCCTTTCTTTCATGTTACTGCAGAGTCCTCTTCCAAGACAAAGGAAGATGAAACCTAACAGATTTGACACGCTTTGAAACTGCTGTTAGACGGTGTCAAAAATGCCACTTTAAACCTGTGTAGCTATGGATAATATATATTACTCATAGATTGGGGGTGAGATGAAAGCAAACTCAGGAAGACATAGGAAAAAGAAGATAATAACAAGACAGGTTTGTTCCCCGGCAAATGGGATAGGCCTATGTTTTAGTTGCTTTGTTTACCAGCTGCTATTATCAAAGTAGATACAGTGTCAAATGCATCTTTGAATAGGTA